GAGAAACTGCAAACAATGCTTGTGCAAAATTTTGGGGTGACAAACAAAGAGCATTATGGTATGTTATGGTATTTTCTGGAGTGGTCAATTGCCTTAGCGGAGCTCTCTCTCGCGCGCGAAGCCTCCTTAGCGGAGCACCTTAGGTAAGAAAATTTAGTTATCTACCCATCCGATAAAATTTGGTTATGACGTCAGCGTACTAAGCAGACGGGTGATTTTGGAAATTATATTCAAAATAAGTGTTTTCGAAAGTTTTTGGTCAAAGCCGATTATTTAATAGGGCAAACATTAACCACAAAGGACTGCAAAGGACCGCAAACGAATATGCCGGAAAACGTAGGATCTATAAAGACCTGATCAGCAAAAATGAAAAGTAGACATATTAAATTCTGCAAGCAGAATACTGCAATGCTAAGAACTCAAAACAGAGCGGGATTGTAGCCATAGACAGCTGTTTCGCCCTCGTTGGGGCTCGTCAGTATGGCGTAACAACCAGAAAGCTCTGGTGCAAAATATCCGCGCACTCTGATTTAAGCTCTGACCTAAACCCTCAACACCCACAGAATCACGCCATACCACGTGTCTTCTGGGGGGCAAGAGTCCAAGTGTCAAGTTGATGTCTCGCAGAGAAAATAAATAGTTGGCCAAAACCAACCTTAAACACATGGTCAAAACCATGCAAAAATTACGGCATATTGGATCTGTAAAAGATCTACGACCCCAGAATACATAAAGTACAAACATTAACCACAAAGGACTGGAAAGGACCGCAGACGAATATGCCGGAAAACGTAGGATCTATAAAGACCTGATCAGCAAAAATGAAAAGTAGACATATTAAATTCTGCAAGCAGAATACATAATTGGATAACAGCAGAATGACCTGACTGAACAGTCGGGTATAATGGTGAATTCTCTCTATACTTGCAACGTTTTATATTGTCGTCATTTTTATAATTTGTTGTGGAAGGGAAGTGCGTACTTTGATCGTCCTGAATATTGAATGAGTGTAATTTGTCTTGTATGTAATTTGTCTTCTGTAAAAACGGCAGAATTATAAGCAATTTTCTCCGAGGTCTGAACGATAAACAAACATCGCCTGATAATTCTGTTTATCTCGGACTTAATGTAAAAAGGCTGGTTTACTTGCTAACAGCACCAGATTTGTAAAACTTGTAGTGTATGGCCTCATTCAGTTTTTTTTTTGGCCTTTCCTGTATACAGAGAGATAAAAAAGATAAGTTATAATGCGTGTAAATTGGCTGCCACCGACGACTATCTTGTCTTAATGGCCTTTATAAAATAACATTATATTTCGGGACTGTCCACTTAACCCTTTAAAATAAGAGTTGTGTAGGTAGGCAAATAGGTCATTTTGCTTGGGAGATTGCTATTTATTGGGTGTAAGATTTTAGAGGTTGTTATATTATTGCACTGTTTGCAAATTGCTTTTTTTTTTTCTAAAATCACTCAGCCCCACCCCTAAAGGCTAGTCATATGATTCTCACCTAAACTTAACTGATTTGTGGATTACAAGTTTCTTGTTTGCTTTAAATTATAGATTAAATAACTGAAGCGTCGCTTTTAGCCCTGGCTAAATCTATATATTATTATTGGCAAATTTTAAGCCGCACGCGCCCCTCTAAAAAGGTCCCAGAGTACCACCCGGACTACTGAGAGATCAGGACTAAATCTTCGGGTCAAAGCAAAAAAAATGATGATAAAACAGTAATAATAAATAAATAAAAGAAAGAAATTTTGGTAAAATAATCCGAATTGTGTTATCACAGTCTGCCAAAGCTGTATGAATATCATAAAAGAAGTTCAAATAGAACAGAACGCGAGACAAACAATATTTTTTTAATAGTATTAAACCCTTTCTTTACACATTTACAAAACTAATAAGGCAGTGTTCTTATATCACCAAGTCCTAGAACGAATTAATGCTTAGAATAAAAGATTTTAACCAAGCTTAATTTTTTTGTCATACTAAAGTGTGTTAAAAGGATTAAACAGCTGCATCAAAACCTCAATTTTCAATTCCACTTTTCTTAAAGCGAGCAGGAAAAGGTATGATGATGCTCATGGTAAGAACTTAGCCCTTTTGAGCTTTTCAGATATTCACGTGTCGCTATTATACGCAGAATACTGAAGCCTACCACGCAGACATATCGAATGATATAACTGAGGAAATTGTTCTAACAGAGTTCTAAGAAGTCTAAGGGCTTCATCTTTTATGAGACTTTATCTTACCTATTCTGGAATCTAACGCAAAAGGTCCAAAGTACTTGTGACTGGTCTACGTTTTGACCGCTTGTTTCAGAACACAGCCGTGGGGCAGGACTTGTGACGAAGCCATAAAAGCATCTGCGCGGGAGGCCAGCAGAATACGTATTGTTATACTACATGTGATTTCAACCAAGCGTTGAGAATTGAGTTCGTTTAAGCTAAGGGTTTTACTTAGAGCTAATCGAGCTTAATTCCTCAGTAACTGGATGAGACGGTACCGTCAGTGTTGTTGCTCTACACCAACAGGTGCAGACCACCAGAATGATTGTATTCCGAAGTTTATAAAAAAGTGTGATGAAGCAAGCTCATTCTCTCTTGGATGAAGCTTATAGACTAAATCCAAAAAAAATAAAATAAAAATGCTTTGCTAACCCAAGATCAAAATTGAAGAGAAAATCTCTCCTGAAATATTAATATTTACAAAAAGAAAATTAAAGGAGTTGTCATTCTTGGAACGAGTGTATTTTAAGTTAAAGGTGCCACAGGTCATGACAAACCGCGACATAAATTTTTAGATCGAGGGAGAGAATATAGTATTTCCATTCCCCATAAGGGATAGCCTGGGTACCAGAGCCTTTTTCTCGCGTTTTCCGTGCTGTTCAGTATAACGAATTGACGCCTCGACCGGAAATGGAAACTGCGCATGATACTGAGGTCCCTGACACCCATCTGACACCCTAGTCCAATCTCGACCCCGGTGCTTACTCAATCTGAGTCAAGGCAATATCAAAAATAAAAATTGCTACTGAGTCTAGTTTAATTTGCCACAGGTTTAAAAGAAATGTATTTTCGAAACATCACTTGTAAATAACAAATGATTTAACTGAGTGGATGTGACCCTCTTCAGAGAAGAGCTTCTGACTTAGTGTAAAGAGGTGCAACCGATAATGAATACATCTACGTACGTGGAGGCTCAATACAGACAGTCAGGTCAATTCTATTTAAAAGCTTCCTGACCGGACGATAAAGCACTTGCATAGTGTACACTTTTGAATAACGAACAGTATACCTATCGACCGAGTTCTAGTGGGTGGTAAAAAGCTTTTGCAAATGGAACTAAAAATAATGCATTTTTTTCAGTACGTGTGATTTCAACCTAGCATTGAGAATGGTTTCCGAGAGGTACTTACTCTCTTCGTTTTCTACTTTAACCCGATCTGATCGTATCATTGTAACACCAAGAGACAGGGAAAAAAACATTTTGTTGTGAAAAGCTAAAAAAAACTTGAAATACGATCCTTTAGGTAATCTGAATCGTTACTTATATGTAGGAATAAAATATAGGAATATTCCGAAAAAATTATCAGTTTTACACCGCTGGAAAATCCGAAATAGAAATAACCTCACTTTCAGCTTTACGTTTTATGCACCTGATATGCAGCTATGAATTAAATTTTAATTTACTCTATCGGAGGTTTATTCTCATATAAAAATATCAGTGAAAAACAGACATTGCTGCCTTAACAAACATATAAATTGACCAATTCCGTTTAGGTAAATTTGACTCAAGTTTTTTTTTTTTATAAAAATGCTCAATTAATGAAACCATGTCATGACAGGACAGAAGAACAACCTTCTGACTGTTATCCACCAAATGATTATGAAAACAGAAACGTTCTTTGGTTATATTTTCCTTGACAAATACATTAACTACCGCATTTATGCAATTCCTGCAAGAAAAGATTTTGAGGTGAAATTATTGCTATACAACAACAACAATAACAACAAATAAAACTTTTAATTATTCACACATAGAGGGAAAATACAATTGCCGAGCAATTTAGCACAAAACGCTATTCGAGGCAGCTGGAAAAAGGATGAAATAAATATAAGTCACTAAAACAGTAGCTGATCTGAAAATGTAATTTTATCTCTGGTTCAGTGGAAGATCTAAAAAAGTAAAATCATGGTGTTATTGACAGTTTTGGGAATAGCATATGAAGTAAGCAACTAATACACTGATTGAGATGCGATCATCATCCCTATGTTCTAACTTATTCTTAGATGATCGAAACTAACCGCGCGAACAAAGATTAATTATGTGTAATCAAATCGTGACGAGTGAAATTAAGTGAAATTATTCCCTAAATTCACGAGTATACCATTTGATTACCTATTAATATCATGGGTGACGAATTACGCTAGCAATCTTGGATTTTTGATATCTTTATCCTGGATCGTATCGATCCAGAACTCCACTCTATGAAATGTTTAGACCTTAAATTTGGCTTATAAAGTTCAGAATTTTTCAGACTTTTTCGGAAAAATACCTGTTAGAGTCGTTCTTGATGTTCTCTTGTGTGTTCAGGTTTTCTAAAGCGTCTTTTTGTGCCCTGACATCTTCATTCACGGCATTTTAAAACTTCGTTGCCATCTTGACACTGAAACGTACGGAAGGGTTGCCATGGTAATTTTGTAATTTCACATGTGAAATTACAAATTAACGCTGAAATTTCGCGCCAAAATTAAGGAGTAATTCGTCACCTATGATATTAGAAGAGGAAAGTTGCCAGCTGATGTAGTTAAAAAAACAAACATACAACTTAGTTAAAAATTTTATAGCTAAACCGACTCTCAAAAAGGCAGGTCAAGGAAAAGAAAATCTTCTCAATGATCTGTTATCTGAGATGCTAAGTATCAAGTTAAGTAAAAATTATCAAGTAGTCCACACTAAAATTTTAAGAAGTACTGAAAAACTTTGACAAAATGATTTAGTGAACTGTAGCATGATCCTTTTTCATCACTTTCTTGACCGCTTCTTTTAGTTCTTGTATTTTCCAAAAATAAATAAAAGGATTCCACGATGAACTCATGAAAGCCATAGTCCGAGTTATATCATAAGCAGCCTCTACAGTACTGGTAAAGCCATTAGACAAATAAGCACACAGAACGCACGTAAAAGGCATGTAAGAAATTATGTACAAAAAAGCGATATATGCCATTTTCATCACGGATTTCTTGTGTCGCTGCATATCAAGAGATTGGCTTTCTGCAGAGCCCTGGTCTTTTATTTGCCGCAAATGTCGACGAACCTGTTTGTATATTTTCCAGGAACAGGTTAGCAACGTTAGATGACTCAACAGCAATCCAGAAATGCTTAAGTACAAAAACGGTCTCATTTTCGTCATGGCGAACCTTGAAACTTGGCTTGCAATCCCCATGACAATAACCAGAAATACGATGTATTGAATGGTCCTTTTTGTGGTTACGACATCGTGATACCTCATGTGATAATGCAAAGCCAGGTAACGCTCGCCAATGATAGACGAAACCAGTGAACAGGACAACGCTGCTGAGAACCAAGCAACCGTTTCAAGAATTGCCCTTAACACGCAAGAGACAGAAACATACCCCGCTAGATAAGTTATCTTGAATGCTCCATAAAATGGTTGCGCTATGAACCCAGTGAGAAAATCTGCAAATGCCAGGCACCAGAGAAACAGTTGGGATTGCGATCGAAGCTGATTTGTTTTCCAGAACGTTACTAGGATGATGCCGTTGCCCGAACTAGCGATGACGGCGCAGATAAAGTTTATCACTGTGGTGACTATGCTTTCAATGTAAAGAACTCCTCCGAGTTCGTAATTATTGAGAGGGTCGTAAAAATAACACCTTTGGCTAGACAGTACAGAAATGGAAGTTTCGTTCTCAGAGGTGTTTCTGTTAACAAAGTCCGCTTCGGCGATCATGGCTTTCTGGATCAAGAATGATTTTGGGTAGTTTTTGTTTACTATTTAAGCCGATAAGGAAACAAAATCAGCACCTGCTGTACTGTTACCACAGAACCAACCAAATGTTGTCATGTAGTTCTCTAATTTGTCATGTTATTCATATCTTTTTAAATGATGTTTGATGTAACAATCAGTACAAATGCTTGATATTTTAATGGGCATGCTTGTTTGCTTTTGCCTTATATGTATATTCTAATCAGTAATATATAGATTTAGCCATGGCCAAAAAGCAAAGCTTCCGCCATATATATATCATGAAAGCAATAAACTTTTAACGTAAAGACGTAAAGCCAAGACAAAGAAAATTTTAAATCCCTACTTAACTTTTGGGGCTTTTCATTTATCTTTTGAGAGGGGGATTCATGTGATTAAGAATAAATTATAACATAGCGTCCGTGCCTGCCCTATGTAAGTCCTACAGAGCACTACACGATACTCGTCATTTTTGCACGCGCTTATTTAGGACTGATGGGATAAAATTAATGTCACGTGGTTTCTCAGGGGGCAAACAAGTGATAAAATCTGCCAATGCAAGAGATCGCGATCGAGTTTTTTTTTGTCCTAGACAACGGAAAATGAAGAACTTTTTATCTTGAAGACGCTAATAACAAGTTATTAGTGGAAGTGTTCATTGTACCTTTATTTGAAAGCAATAGCGACCGTAGATGTCCGTTCATCATGTACAATAATGACGTAGAACTTGTCGAAACTCGAACTGTACATTTTGATAGAATAAGCAAATTCGACCGCGAGAACTCGTATTGGCAAATTTTATTCATTGTTTGCCCTCTGAGAAACCACGTGACATTGCTAATATCCCATTGATCATAAGGCGCATGCAAAGATGGCGGGTATTGCGAATAAAGTCTGTTGAGTTGCTACGAAAAATTTTTTTTTACACGTGTACAGTTGTCTATGACACTCGGTTTCTCTTCTCTGAAAATCGAAGGCAATGATGAATTGTCTAGCATTTTTGGAATCGAGCTTCTAGCCACTCAAACCAGCAGCAAAGGCGGTAAAGATATTGCGCAAGTTAGAGCCTGAGCCTTTGGAAAGCCAAATTGGGCTGAAAAACACCATAAATTGGTCTGTCGCGCGGGGAATATCCAGTTATGAAGTGTCCTCTTTTTTTTGTTAACGTCTGTTTATCCTTCTGAAACAAGTTAATTTTGAAGTAATAGCGAAAAATTATGCACTTTTGTTATATCAACCAAACAATCCGAGACGAATAAAATTACACAAAAACTACTGCAGCCAGGTCGCCTCACGGAAACCATTGTGAGCAACGAATAAACCGTAGCTAGGATGACAGTCGCTTTCGCAAAACAATAAGTTTAATGGATTTCGCCAAGCAAAAACATAAACATGGTTTCAACGAATCCAAACCATGCTCAACGCCCTCTTACGAATTCAATATTTTCAATATTCCTTTTATAGATCCTATATGCTGTAATTTTTGCATGGTTCTGTCCATGTTTTTTAGATTGGTTTTGGCCAACTCTTTATTTTCTCTGCGAGACATCAACTTGACACTTGGACTCTTGCTCCCCAGAAGACACGTGGTATGACGTGATTCTGTGGGTGTCAGGAGTTCTGGATCAGGGCCAAAATCAGAGTGCGCGGATATTTTTTCATCAGAGCCTGATCTCTGGTTGTTACGCCATACTGACAAGCCCTAAAGAGGGCGAAACAGCTGTCTATGGCTACAATCCCGCTCTGTTTTGAGTTCTTTCGGTGTCGTGTTGATGTCTTGCAGAGTTAATTTTCACGTAGTACGATCAGCATTGCAATATTCTGCTTGCTTAATATGTCTTCAATGTTTGAGTATTTTTATTACCTTTAGTTGGACTTTAAGACTATTTTACCTTAGCTTGTTTTTACATAGTTTCCATTGATCGTTAACGAATAAATAAGCAAATTTTCATTCTCACTTTTTGAACAATAATTTCTAATTCAAACTAGACGGATGTGGCGTGTTTGTAACCATCCAATAGAAGCGTTTGTTTTTCAGTGCCGCGTGTTTCGAGAAGTATTCATTTAGTCCAGAAGCAAGCATTTTGTGTTAGCCATATATAATATAAATGAACTGCATTTATAAAATTCTCAGGATACTTAATTTTAATATGCCCTTTCAGCTTGTACTTACAAAATTTAACTGTTTTCGTGTTTAGCGAAAGCAAGAGAGAATGAGATCCTTCTCTCTTGGCGAAAGTTCATCACGTGATCAAGTCATGCAAAGAGCCTATTGGTCTCTCCTCCACTTTAATTCATCGGGGGCTTCTACGGTGCAGTAGACTGGGCGACGAGTATGCAACAAATGACTTGCCAACTTTTGACGCAGCACTACGATCGACATGGGAGCGGTAAGAGGTTTAATTCTACATAAGAAAGGCCAAAACCTTGTAAAAAAAGAGTTTAGTTATGGGAAAATTACATTTACCTTGCTTGGAGACCTGTGTTAAAAGCTGGGAACTCCGTCCCCTCTTCGATCTCAGAAGATAGTATGAATTTCCCCTGTGGATGGAAGTTTGGGAGTTGATTCTGACTGCTTCTCCATGGTCCAAATTAACGAGGACCCTCTTCGAAAACACTGCCTCATGCGATTTCTAATGTGCAACTGCTGAAAGTAGCTTATTCAGATGACTCCTTCTCTTTACCTTCAAAGGAGGGACCAAACAATTTTCTTGGCCAAACTAGTATACACTCAGGTCATACACATTAGTTGGAAATTAACATAGTGATGGGGCCCGTCTCCTCTTCACCACCTCCTTGCCAGGAAGAGAATTCAAAGAATAACTATTTAATATGTGAGTACGACGTGAAAAGTTTGCGAGCGTTTTCCTTAATTTCGAGTTTGTTGGTGCTGGACGCATCAAGTGTCACTTATCCAAACATGCAGGCTGACCGGCTTTTCTGGGACTGAATCGTCTTCCATTTTCTCTAGTTGTTCTTGAATTTCGTGTTTCAGCCCCCCCCAAAAGGTCTAGTTGTGATTTAGCCTAACGAGTTCCTTGTTTAATAATATACACGAAAAATTACTCAATTCTGATTGGCTGAGAAGGTAGTGCAGCTCTTCGGTAACACGAGTGCAAAATGTGTAACTCGAGTGCAAACTTGTAACACGAGTGCAAATTACAAATGCTTTCTGATTGGCTGAAAAAACAAAAGAAACCAACAAGAACCAATCAGATTAGAGCTGTTTTAACAACAAAAATTCAAGAAAATGGCCATGGTTTTCAGCAGACGACGACGGGATTTAGTTTTGTAAGCAGAACAACATTAAACATTATACAATTCCATGATAACAACAGGGGACTTCAAGTCATGTACGTTATTTGTTGGTCTCTTTGAGTCTTTTGTGGAGCGGAGACCTCTATTAAAACATCCATGCGATGGTCTGTTTTTTTTTCTACCTCAGTAGCAAACGAAACCGAAAATTTAAACATCTGGTCCAAACTAAACCAACGGGCGAAAATACCATAACTCAAATAATGAAAGTATCCGTAGCTGGTACTAGCCTTAAAGAAAGTGAGAAAAAAGTTTACGAATCATTGTGCAAGAAAAACAACAGTCAGGAATCTGAAGAAAGCAAAAATTGTAAGTTCAGAAGTTAACATATCGTCAGTGTCACAGGTCACAGAGGTATAAATTTCCTTAACGACTACGATGAAGCCGACGAAGAAGAGCTACGATGACTCTTGCAGTAGGCCAAATAAAATAATGAAAACTCCAGCGCTGAGAAAAAGCAAATGTTATATTAATACTGACAGTTTCCGACATCACAACAACTGTGACTCCACTCACCCATCGATGGCAGCGTCGAAAGAAAATAAATTGCCTCCTTCATTTTCGCGTTTTAAAACTCAAAAATTTGTCCATGAATCCAGCTATGATGGGGTCTCAGGAACAGACAATGATAAACAGTCGTTGAAAAACCTTATCAAGTGTCTTTCATCTTTGGCTGCTCGAAGCGTTCTCCTGATTTCAAAACGACAGTATACTTCCTGAAAACGCTTCTTGTAAACGCTGAGCTCTCATAATCGACGATGAATTTAAAAACGCTTACTTTTCAGTGCTGATTGTTGTAAACCAAGTTATCTTTAACAGGCTGGTGACCGTATAAAAAAATCCTTGCAAATTTTCAAGGTTCTTAGCTGAATGATTTTGAAAGCGTTGGTCTTGAAAAAGTTTGAATTTGACAAAGGTAGTAGTCTGTTTCAGCCAATCAGTTGAATGAACTAAAAACGCGCGTGCTGTCAAAATTTGTTGTTGTATTTATGTTTTTCGTGTATATTATTAATAAGTAATCACATGATTTTTCTCGTGCAATTTGGAGTAAATAAGCACTTGTAAATTTTTCAAAGACCACAAAGTGTACTTGCCCTACGGGCTCGTGCACTTTTGTTGGTCTTTGAAAAATTTACTCTTGCTTATTTATTCCAAATTGCACTTGAAATCATGTGATTACCTATACTAACACCTGTGTAATTATGTTAATCCTCCAGAGAATTGGATGAACAGTGAGGAGATCTGGATAACCGAATTCTCAATCAATGTCAATACCATTACTGCTAGTAAATTATTAATAACAGTACTTTATAATGCAGAAAACTCGCACTGCCGTTTAAGCATTTCAAACAGTAATTAATACATGTCCTGCGTATACTATATGTTGTAGTTCAGCTACATAAACAAAACTAAAACAAGGAAACCCGGCGAGGTTATTCTACAGTTTGCCGGTATATTCGGTAAAGTTGTTGATGGGACTGTCACGGTTTAAAACTTTCTTGACAGCTTCTCTCAATTCTTGTATTTTCCAGAAATAAAGGAAAGGATTCCATATAGAAGACACAAAAGCCAAAGTGCGGGTTATGTCATAAGCAACTTCGACATCGGCAGTGAAGCCATTGTGCAAATAAAGAAACAAAACAAAAGTAAATGGCATGTAGGCAATAATG